GAATGAATGAATGAGTGGCTGTCATTGCTGAATGAACACTGTCATAATCATCTGTCTCATCATTACTGCTAAATTTAACATCCGAACTTGGAGTCATTTACTGCTCTCTAGTGGCTGACAGTGAAAACAGCATCTTTATTCATTCACCGCCAACTTATCCAGCATATGTTTTATGCAGCGGATGCCCTTCCAGCTGCAACCCATCACTGGGAAACATCCATACACACTCATTCACACTCACTCACAGTGGACAATTTACTCAATGCACCTGTATCGCATGTGTTTGGACTGTGAGGGAAACCGGAGCACCGGAGGAAACCCACATTTAGAGCATCATTATGAGCATTTTACATTATAACTAAAGTGGTTAAAATGATGGATCTGCGAAAGAGAAGCTACGGATTTTGCGAAACACTCATCAATACATCATTCTTTTTCCAAATGCCCGATGCATCCTACTATGATAGTTTAGCTGCGAGTTACGTCGTTGTTTGGGAAATGCACCCCAGTCTGGTTTTAGAGGGGGTTTGGCCATTTCCAGCCTGGTCTTAGCTGAAGCCCGGCCAAAACCAGCTATGTCCAGCTTAAACCAGGCTGATCACGCTGGTCATCTCTCAGCCTGACCAACTAAGACCAGGCTGGAAATAGCCAAAACCCCTCTAAAACCAGACCGGTCTGTGCTGTTTTTTTCAGCAGGGTATTTTGGATAAGTTGGCGGTTCATTCCGCTGTGGCGACCCCGGATCAATAAAGTGACTAAGCCGACAAGAAAATGAATGAATGAAATCAAATGTTTACCATTACCTCCAGACCGCGTGCTGGCGCCCGTGAGCTGCCCTGCGTAAATAAGCCACCGAATGCACAGCCACACGATGCAGCTGTCATTGAGAAATATCTGCTGCCAGCATCTTTAAAATTACCATTATTATTAGCGTTAATCATCTACGCTATCCCACATGCTGTATGAGATTCATACACCGTGTGTCTCCGGGCTCTGAGAAATGTAAACATGTGTTGATGTGCGGCTGAATGTTGAGGTAAAGTAGTTGTATATTCGCTGATCTCTGAACAGTGTCCGCTTGTGACTCGCTCTCTGTATTGTTATTTACGCTACTTTCAATGTTGGGTCTGAAATGGCGTATACATATGACTTCAGAACAACATCAGCTCTATTTAATGCTAATGAATGATAATATGATTTCACTGTTTAGAATTTTCACTTTATTAAAATTATATTATTAACGAGAAAGTCCAAAGATGTGAATATAAATGCACCTTTACCCCAATCACCAGCTTCATCAATGCTTTTACTGTAGTAAAACTGCTGAAATGGCATGGTTCTACTAGACTTGAGTTTAATTTGTACACTATACACAACTTGTGTCATTTTAAAGCAGATTTCCAATAATGTAATTGTTATTTTGCTTTAAATACCCACATGAAAACACTATGGAAGTTTATAATAAAGTGATTTATTCTGTATATATTTCAGTATTCTCCTGGATCCTCCAGAAATGAGTCTTCCAGCTCTGCAGAACAGTGCGGTTTTCTACCGGAGGATCATCAACCGTTTCCCGCAGGACTTCAGCCTGGCCTTCGCTTATGGATCTGCAGTTTTCAGGCAGACCGGCAGCTCTCAAGGCCACATGGCGGTAAGACGATCTCCACAACTATAGAAAGTGTCATAATGATCTGAACAAACATTGACAGAATAATAAACAACTGAATAAATACTGTGGTAATGTATAGTGTTGTAGTATTTGAACTGTGTTGAGGTAATTCTGTAGTTGCAATAGAAACACAACAGCCATCGTACTGTAAACAAACGACACGATACAGTAGTTTTCTACAACTGTATTCGACTACAACAAAACTAAAGTATACCCCTGCTGAAAAATCCAGCTTAAACCAGCATAGGCTGGTTTTAGCTGGTTGACCAGCCTGGTTTTAGAGGGGTTTTGGCCATTTCCAGGCTGGTTACCAGCCATTTCCAGCCTGCAGGTCTTAGCAGGACAAGTTGGGAGATGACCAGCTAAAACCAGCTTGACCAGCCTAGCCAGGCTGGGAGCCCAGCCAAAACCAGTTATGTCCAGCTTAAACCAGGATGGTCTAGCTGGTTTTAGCTGGTCAATTTCCAGCCTGACCAGCTAAGACCAGGCTGAAAATGACTGAAAACCA